GATCCTGAGAGGGAAGTAGAGCGGTAGTATAGTTTGTGCGTTTGCGTGTTGCTCAGAGTGAAAAGCAAGAGAGGGAATCTGGGATTTGAGATTTGCAATTTTCTTTTGAGTTGAAGAGTTTTGACTTACAACAGGAAAGAAAGAAATGGGCTGGATGGCAGAGGCGCTGCATAGGTCCATAGGGAACTGGACGGCAGGGGCGATTACGACTTGCATAGGTTCCAAAAGGAAAGAAAAGTTGTAGAAAGTCAAAACGTGGACCAGATTGCAAGACGTTGCAAGGTTCACACATGAGCTAGATTGCAGACGTGCATAGGCTCAGAGAACAGATTTAAGTAAAAGAGAAAGAAACAAAGGGAACTGGACGGCAGGGGCGATTACGACTTGCATAGGTTCCGAAAACGTGAGACTGACTGAAATGAATGTAAATGTGCTGTCAGTTTGTAGCTCGACATACTGTCTAAGTGAGAGACGAAGTATGGAGCTGTCTATTATGCTGGACTTGACGTGACATTTTGTCTGGACTCCTCATGTTTGTGTAGGTTTCATTCCACCGTTGCTGTTTTACTATAAGACAACTTTGGCTCAGTGTTTTTTGCATTTCAGCTGCCCTCGCGATCGCTTTGAGATCCTATGGCATCAACGGCAATGGAATCCATTCGTCTTTGGTTGGCGTTGACTCCTAAGCAGTTTGAGGACTTGAACAATGGCAAGGAGATTCAGCCTGACGAATATTCCAAAAGGTTTGGACTACGAAAAGACCCGGTTGCTGCCGTTGAGCGTGCTCAGTACTTCAATGATTGGACACCGGAAGGTCCCAAGGGAGAGTTTTGTGCCAAAGACTACGTTCTGGTCGAGGTCGAGTTGACCGCCATTGGCTATCTCCAGAAAGCCGAGGCGGGGATTCTCTTAAAATATAAGCCCAACGAATACCGTTGGCAGGGGACGATGAAATCTGTAGAGTTTGACCAGTACGGAAACTTGTTATACAAGTTTTCCACGGAGGCTCACCAGATCATCTGAGCACAGAGGAAATATCCTCTCTATGTATAAGTTTTTTTGTAATGGTTCCAGGTCGGGTGGTAGTGCTAGGCTTGGAAGCCGACGATAGCTGCGAGGAGAAATGCAAAAGCGGTGATGAAAGAGCTGTCAAGCTGAGATTGGAGTGAAATGACAATTTTGGGATGTCTCGGAGCTTTAGAGTTTTGGACGATTTCGGACTGGACGGAACTTGGACTTGTGGAACTCAGTTTGTGTGGTTTTCTGTCAGCTGTCACGAGTTTTGCATGAGTTTTCATTTTTGCTGCATGACATGTCTATGGGTTTTATACGTGCGGGAAACCACGGTGATCTGTTTTGCAGTTTTGTGAAGAGTTGTGCATGCATTGGCAGTTGGATCTGGATTGAGTTTGCGGTTTGCCACAAGTTTTCTGAGACATTGGAGTTGGTCGATCACATATTACCTGTCAAGATGTGTGGCACGCATCTTGGGGTAGTATTGAGTGTGATCTTTGTCGGAAGTGTGATTCATCTGTTAAGGTGTGCGTCACGCACCTTAGGGTGAACAAGAGAGAGTTTGTGCTTGGCATGGCATGAAATGGCTGAGCTGTGGTCTGCATGGTCATTAGAGGGATTGTCAAGTTGAATTGCAGATTATGCCCAAGCTGTATTTGGGCCCCGGCTTATCCCAGCGGGTGCATCAGGCCTTGTCTAGGAGACTCGAGCAATTCATGGCAGCGAACGTGGCAGCTTCCGCAACCCCAGCAGCCCCAGCAGCTCCATCGACAGAGGGTGTAGAGTTTCCTCTGACTGAGAATCCAGCGCTACCGGCGCAGACAGGAGCGGCTGAGACGGATTCCGAGAAAGAGAAAGAGCAGGGTACTATCCAGGTGGATGGAGATGACAAGGAAGACGAGGATGAAGGAGATGCTGGAAGAGATGATGACAGATCGAGATCTCCGAGGTTGAGAAGGCATCATGAGTCCTTTGACCCCAATGACTCAAGGTGGTATATTTAGAAAAAGGGTTATATTTTTGGGATACAGAGGAGTTAGCCCAAAACACACTGAACAACACAGTCTTGCAAAAAGTATGTTTACCCTTTCGCAAAGTCAGTCAGACACATCATCTTGCGAAGTCTGAAGGACCAGAACTGTAATTCAGGGTGTCGAGTCATGGAAAACTGCGCAATACGCATTTGCAAAATCGCGGGTGGAACCCAACTAAACAAAATTCAACTGGACCAAACCTGCTGAAAAAGAGCTGCAAACAATGATTCGTCCTGTGTATGCGGCGTGTGAGTGTGTGTGTGTGTGCGTGTGTCTGTGTGCGGGTGTTCTGTCTTGTGTGACTTGTGTGGGTGTCCCGCATGCTTTGTCAGGATTGTTCTGAGTTTTTTTTCTTTGCAGGCGGCCTGCTTCCAAGACTGATGGTAACGGCTAATAGCTCTTACGTTTTTGTTGCTTTCAAGAAGATTGACATTTCAAACCAGGATGGGGGCCTTGTAAGCACGCGGTATAGTTACAGGACAACCATTCTGTCCACGCCGCACGTTTCCCCTGTTTCACCACCATGTTTAGATACTTTCCTTTGAACCAAATTATGTTTGTCCACATGATGCGTTCGTGTTCTCATAGTGTGAACAGTGAACCACCATCATATTCTTCATTTTTCGTTGGCGTCTATGTTTGCAGGTTTTTTGTTGTCTAGAATTGTGCTCCCACGAAAGATACAGATTGTTTGTTTTCCCCCTCGGCCTCCAATGCCTTTTCAGAGCTGGCTGTCAAGATATGGTTTCCATGTTTGTTTCAAATAAACTGTGTTTCCGCGGTGTCTATGTCTTCCATAGTGGCACCCCAAAAAATCCATTTTGTGCAGTTTTTTCCCATATGATAGCACCGCAAGGCCGCCAAACTCATGCTTACTGCTTGTCGGAGTTATTGCTTTCAGAAAGCGGTTGTTCTTTTAACTAGGGTACGATTTTGAGCTATATGTTTGGTGGTCCTTCAGCTGGCAACCAGAAAGACCGGCTCCTTCATCTTCTATCGTTTTTTTCCTCAACTGGGCCCGAAACGGTTTTAAATTTGCGAGCGGTGCTTGGAACCTTTTCAATATATTTTTTTCCCTGGGTGTTTGAACAATATTATTTGGGCTCTGTTTTTCTTGTTTTTGGAACCATCCAAAAATTGTTTCTTCTTTTTGCAGCTATAACTTTGGGTGATGTGCTGTTCTTGTTTTAGAGCCCTCCCTTTATGTGGAAATATGGCTCCTTTCAATTTTTTGGGGCGATGCTTTCGCTCTACAAAAATACTTTGTTTTTTTGGAGCTATGATTTTTGAAACTGCGTTTTTGCAAGTTTCGGAGCCTTTGAACAAATAGAGATCCTTTTCTTGTATCTATAATCGTTGAAACTCCCCTTTTCCGGGTTTGGGAGACCTTCAAAAAATATCTCTGGGTGGTCCTTTTCCCGGTTTGGAAACCTTCTAAGAAATATTGTTTCTTTCTTGATTTTTTTTGAGCTATATGACGCTCCACTTTTCCAGGTTTCCGAGCCTTCCGCGAAATACAGTTCCTTTTTTGGGGGGAACTATAATTTTTGACGCTGTGCTGTTTGCGGTCAACTTGTTGATAGCTCCTTATTTCCAGTGTTAGTGAGAGAACTTGTTCTCGTGCTGCTTGTTGCTCCTCCTTCTCGATGTTGCCCTCCTCTGTTGCTGAAGGATCACTCGAAGTAAATTGGATTTCAACAAACAACAGTTTGGAAAACAACAACTTGTTTCAATGATGTCAATTGGATTTGCAGATTTGCACTTTGATCGATGTCTCTCAACTTCATGTACAGTTTGTCACGGCAGTCAATTACAGACATGTCAATTCAGAACGGAGTTCAATTTGATGAAGGTCAACTTGATCAATGGATGTTGCTGATACATGGCTCTCAGGGACGGGTGGCGGGTAGCCTCTTACTTTTTTGGTAGAGGTTGCATGTCAACTTGTTTGGTTGCATGTTCTTTTTCTTGTTTTTGGAACAACAGTGCAAAGGAATAGGGTCAACTAGTCGATAGTTGTACCTTTTGTTTTGTGGTACTTGCATCAGGCATTTTGTTTTACATTTCACTGCATCACCGCGGGGAGCCAGAGCTGCATGGGCGCCAGAGCCAGGGGCAGAGTGGCATTTTCCAGTCCTTTGGCACTCCAGCCGGTGCCAGTGAGCTCAGCGTGTTGGCAGAGAGACTGCAGCTTTTTCGTCAGTGGCTTCCTTTGCGCAGTGATTTTCATTTGGTGGATCTTGTTTGGCATTGCATATGTGGATTAGCCTGGATCGTTTTGCTGCTTGCAATTCACAGGATCAATTCTTGTTGCACTTTCCTGGTTGGTTTGATCTTCAAGGTAACATACTGGCCTATTCAACTCCTGCGGAGTCCCACCGATATTTGAGGACCTGTGTCTTTTTGTTTGTGGAGACGCGTGATTTGCTTTTGACAGCAACTGCAGTGAGACTTCATTATTAAGGGTCAGGTTTTTCAGTGCCAACCCCACCTGTGCAGCCCGCGCTCCAGCTGGCCGGTCAAGGGGGGGACGTTTGGGACCAAGATTTTACCTCCAGTGACCAAGATTTTGACTTTCAGTGACAGTGCATCAGTTGAAAATTCTAGTCATGCCGTGGAGACCCAAAACATTGACTAAATATTCAGTTGGGTCCACAGAAAATGCCACCAGTGATTCTGACTTTGATTTTCAGCATGTTGGCAATGAACCCAGCGTTGACAGCCACGGCAACTTGTCTGGAGCTGGATTCTCAGAAGAAAACCTTGTTGGAGATTTAGCAATTGGTGTGAGTGAGATTGGATGCAAGGACTCTCACTTTGACTGCATCTCTTTTGAAGGCAATAGTGTGTCGCAGCAAGGAGCGCTGAACTTGAGTGCAAAGCTTGTTCCTCGAGGCCCTACTTTGATGGTCGCATGCGTTTCTTAGCACTAGAGGACCTCTGAAAGTGGTCATGCCTTGGGAGAAAGGAGTCTTCAAGAAGATATTCAAAAAACCTGAGAGTCTGTTGCACAACGTCTTCAAACAACCACGGCAATGGGTTGGACTTGATGTTGTGCCCGAAGCTGAAACAATGGATGAGTTTTCATCCGCAGTGGGCAGTCGGCATCAGCTGGTCGGCGCCTTTTATGAGCATGCGCTGTCATCCATTTCAGATCAGTCCTTTTTGCAAGAGCGTCAGAATCTTTTGGCAGCTGCAGTGGAAAAATGGTTTTGCATCATCAGGGTCAACATGCTTGCGTCATCAGTCGGACATGACATCATTGGACTGGGCAACATGGAGGACCAGAAGAAAGGCGCCTTTCAGGTCATCGAAGCTGTAATAGGCGTAAGATCCAGAACCACGGCTGTCACAATAAGGGCCAATGCTTTACTCAAATTTTTGAGATGGAGAGCCGATACCTCAGAGAATGATGGAAAGAAATTTTCAGAGTTGGAAGCATGGAGCTATTTGTTGGAGTTGAGAGAGAAGGGTGCAGCACCAACTAAAAGTACCAGCTTCCTGTCGGCTTGCGCCTACGCATTGCATGTGTTTGGATTTACTGGATTTGAGTCCATTTGTTCAAGCAGGAATGAACCTCGCTCCAAAGCATGCACTCAATTGGTTGCCACGCAACCCAACTCTTTGATCAAATGAAGTTCACACTTCACACTTGCGATACGCACTCTGACACAGCTTCCCAAACTCAACCTTACTGCCATGCAGCAGGTTCAAGATTGTGCCACAGCGCGACTTTTTGTTCTCCTACGCAAGTGCCTTCGGAAGCAAACCGTCTTTGACAGCGTTGCTCCTACATCTTTTGCATACATCAAATGAGTCATAAGCATGGCTGTTTTGAGCATCAGTGGAAGTGTAAATCAAATTTGGACATCACGATGTTTGACTCATGCTGGGACGAACGCTTTTAAAATTTTTCTTGAATTTGCCAAGTCAGCTTTTGAGTGAAATGCGTGTTAGGAGCATCGATTCAAATAGAGCAGATGATTTGGAAGACAGGGAGCATGATTTTTCCTTGTTTTGTGAACTGTAGTTGACCTGCGCTTGCCATGGCAAGTTTATTGGACTCTGAGGCACAATTCACTCAGCGCACCATTGACCTCAAGTTATCTGAGGAATTGAAGCGAAGCTTGCATAGAGCAGGTCTTCAAACCTTTGGCACTTTTGCGTATGCACATGGACAGCCTGGTCAAAATATTTCTGACGAGGGATTTGAGACATGGGTCACGGGGCAACTTTTGACAGGTGCAACTCTGGCAGATGTTGCGGGGGCCAAAAGGCTGCTTTTCGAGAGTCAGACTATGTGCTAGCGTCTTTGCAGGAACAAGTCAGTGCCACGGATGCTTCAACGATTAAGAAGGTGCCGGTGGTGGAGCGTGAAACCAAAATGAAGGCCATCAAAAAGAGACTGACAGGTCTCCTTATTGAGGGGCCGCTTGAACCTAGACATGCGCTTCTGGACACCGCAGCCAGTATGATGCAACTCAATGAAATCAAATACATCCCTCCGGAAAAATGTATTTCAAGGACTCATGAAGTTTTGAATCAAAAGACTCCAACGAAACAGTTGGATATCTTAGCTGAGAACTTGATTGTGAAGGAAAAGCAGGACACCCCAGACATGACGGTCACCTCAGCACTTCAGGTGCAAGAGGCTTTTCAGCGCCGTGGAATAGCGCTTGTCTTTGCAGACCTCATCACCCATGAGAACTATACCAGGTACATCACAACGCTTTTTGGACACTTGCATAGAGATCCGCCTGTGGGGTACGCAAGGACCAGTGTGAGTCAGCTTGTTGCCGCCGACCGGACCGTGTGGCAGATGCTCTTAAAAGAGGGCATTCAACCTAAAAGGGATGAAATGGGAACCCTTTCACTGGATTCGAAGCTCATGGAGAGTCTCCAAAGTTACAGGGTGTCCTTTGCCTTGCTGCCATTGATAGCAAAGAAGGATAGCACTCCAAGCCCATTGAAGACTACCAAGCCGGCCGCAAACCAAGGTGGCAAAGGAGCACATTTGCAGGTGCAGAAACCCTGGCTCAAAACCAAGGGTGGCAAGAAAGGAGGAAAGGGCAAGGTTCGAGTACCCCATCATATCTTCAAACTGGGTGGCACGGCTTCCAATCCGTCTGGAGAGGCAATTTGTTTTGGGTTCAACAGCAGCGCAGGATGCTCTGAAGCAGCGGATGGAGCGAAATGTCGACGGGGTCTTCATATTTGTGCGAAATGCTACGGTACGCATGGTATCCAGAAGCATGAGTCGACTTGACTCTCTGCGCAGTCGGATCATGGTCAGGGCCTTACATGTGATCCATCAAAACGATGTGTGGAAGGTTCGGACAATTTTTCGTTTAAAAATTTTTCAGCTCCAGTTGCGTCGAATGATCCATGCAGAAAGCGTGTTGATGACAGCAACACAATTCAACAAAAGACCAAACATGACATGGCAGCGAAGACTGACATTGATGTAGGTTGCAGTTTTGATGAAAGTTTGAAGGATAAACCTGATCCGAAAATCAATAGTGGTCAGTTTGCTGGCACCACCTCAACCACTCCTCAAGCGGAACAGCCAGCGGTTCGGAACCCAGTAGCAGTGGATGGTTCAGTGAATCACAGCCTGTGTTCTGCAGCAAGTCAAATGCAAAGTTCAACAACAGATGGGTTTGCATTTAGCATAGAGCAGTTAACATGTCCAGTGGTTATTGAAATTTTCTGTGGCAGTGCCAGACTGACTGCAAGTCTCAAGGAGGTTGGATTCAAGGACTCATTTGGAGTGGACCACAAGCTGGACAAGGCGGTTTCTACAGCCAAACGTTTAGACCTTACAGAGAAAACAGATCAGCTTGTACTCCTTCAGTGGTTGAAATCACCGTTGGTCGTTGGGATTTTTCTTGCGCCTCCTTGCGGTACCTGTTCTCTCGCTCGAAACATCAAACTGCGTGACTCAACAGGCAAACCTCTGCATGGCCCCAAACCTTTGCGGTCAACAGACTGGCCAGAAGGGTTACCAGGGTTGGGGCATAAAGACAGAATGAGAGTTTCAGCGGCAAACAAATTATATGATTTTTTGGCAACAGTTGCGGACATGGCGCATGGGTTGGGTTTGCTTGTGGTAGTGGAAAATCCACGGTCTTCTTTATTCTGGCTTACAAGGTTTTGGAAACAAATCAGGGCTCCGATGCAATATTCAGCGCATCAGGCGTGCGCTTATGGAGGAGAGAGGCCAAAGTGGACTGTCCTAGCCTGGAATCATCCAGCTTTTGCAGCAATTTCAAAATGCTGTCCAGGTGTATCAACCTTGCACCAGCACAAACCATGGGGCTTGGTACACTCTGACTCAGGAACTCATTTTTCCACAAGCGAGGAGACGGCTTACCCAACAGGGTTAGCGCGAGCCATTGCAAGAGTCTTCGCATTAATTTTAGCAGAGCATGGTTGGAAGCCGCCTCAAGAGCAACTTCAGGAGCATCAGGAAGTGTCATTGCGATCAATGAGAGCCATTGCAACAGCTCAGCCGAAGGCATCCAAAATGCCGCCAATTGTCAGGGAACACAGGAAGGTGGTACTCATCACTGGGCCTTTTGCAGACCTTGCATCAGCCCCTGTGGAACCTATGCAACGGCTTAAGTCACCTTGGGAAGTTCCCAAATCCTGTGTGACGGGGTTGAACATTTTGCCAGAGGGTGCCCAGCTGTTGCGCACTACTCCATTGCGGTCAAAGGGGGGTTTATTGGTGCTCAACGATACAGCAGTTGGAGTTTTTGAGCAAGCTTGGGGTATACCGTTTAGTCCTGAAGAATTTATTCAGGAAGCTGTGGAACGAGGACATCCCAAGTTATTTACCAGGTTAGTACCAAAAATTTTGCAAACGGCCATCGAGAACAATTTTGATAGAACTGGTTTGCATCAATTGCCTCACAATAGGAGCCAATGGTTTGCAAGATGGACCGAAAGAGCTAAACAACTTCAGCAACATGACGCAGAGATCAAGAGTGCGCTCCCTAGCCATGCAGCCAAGATTCTTGAACCGAAGAGGTTAGCCCTTTTCAAGGAAATTTTAGTGGAACTGGAATATCCTGATGTTGGAGCTTTCGATGAACTGGTTAATGGAACAGACCTTGTTGGTGAAGTGAAGCCCTTCGGAATTTTCGAGAAAGCATTCAGGCCCGCTGAAAAAACAGTTTCGCAGCTTAAGGAAGCCAGCAAGTCAGAGCGCATGGTGAACTTTTACAAATGCTCTTCTTCAGGTGACCAAGAAATTGATACCATGGTTTACAGCAAGACTATGGAAGAGGTGGATTGCGGTTGGGCCATGGGCCCCATTCCCATGGAAGACTTGCCAAGTGACGCAGTGGTTAGCAGGAGATTTGGCCTTAGACAACCTGGCAAGATTCGACTTATAGACGATTTAAGCGCCAGTGGCGTGAATCAAACTGTGCAAACAGCTGAATCGCCCAAGCCACATTCAGCGGATTTCATAGCGGCAATGCTTTTGGCAGTTTTGAAAGTTAGTGAAGGTTCAAAGTTGATGGGAAGGTCTTTTGATTTGAAAAGCGCATATAAGCAACTAGCAATGGCAAAGGAGTCCTTGTCATTTGCTTTCGTTGCTGTATACAACCCAGAGAGAGCCAAAGCAGAAATATTTCAGTTGCTTGCTGCACCGTTCGCAACCAGGAGTGTATATTCGTTTTTGAGATTGTCGAATGCCATATGGTATACAGGTGTCAAAGCGTTGAACCTGATCTGGAGTTGTTTCTTCGATGATTACGTGGTCTTCAGCAGAGATGAACATGTGAACAATACTGAGCAGTCAGTATCCCTTCTTTTCAAACTGTTGGGTTGGAAATTTGCGGAAGAAGGGGACAAGGCGGATGGTTTTTGTCGAGAGTTTGGAGCCTTGTGCATTCGTATCATTCTGGATGAGGCAGACAAAGGTTTGGTTAAGTTTACAAACACTGCAAAAAGATCTATGGAGTTGGTCGACACCATAAATGCGTTGCTGACCAAAGGAAGCATGACAACTTTGGAAGCGCAAAGACTCAGGGGCAGAATGCAATTCATGGACGGTCAATTGTTTGGAAGATTGGGAAAGTTGTGTATGAGAGAAGTTACAAATCATTCTTGTGATTCGAAAACCTCGAGGTTGAGCGGTAGAACCATGGATGCTTTGAAGAGGTTTACCATCTTTTTGGAACATGCTGAGCCGAGGCTTATTCACTTGAGCACAGACATGGTTTGGCACATTTACACGGATGCTTGTTATGAGCCGACATCAAGCGACTGGCAGTGCGGATTAGGAGGTGTCCTAGTAGGACCAAATGGCAGGCAAGTGGCGTTTTTCTCAGTGGCACTGAATCATGAACAACTGGAACTTTTGGGGTCAGAAATTAAGAAGACAATAATTTTTGAGGCGGAGCTGTTGGCCTTGGTGTTGGCCTTTTCAGTGTGGCGTGATTACATAAAGGCAATGTCTTTGATCTGTTTTGTTGACAATAACTCGGCAAGAGATGTTGCCATTTCGGGCAATGGAAGGAACATCACCGCAAATAGCTTGATTGAATTTTTGTTGAAGTTGGAAATGTCAAGTTGTACAACACCTTGGTATGCGAGAATACCTACACCTTCGAACATTGCAGATGAGCCATCAAGGGGGGTAACACAGAGATTTATCCAAGGCAGAATCCCCGAAACTTCAGTCTGTGACGGACTACAAGAAATCTTGCTAGCACTTGCGGAAGACACGGTTATGAGGGGGTCTTCAAGATGAGCAGCAGAACTGGTTGGAACGTTGATGGAATTTTTTATGGCGGCGATTTATCTGATTGCTGGAACTTGTGCTCCTTCTACCCAGCGATTTATGTGATTGCTGGAACTGGTGATAGCCTTATTGGAACGACGGATCGACGTTTCGAATTGCACAGCCCGCTGTCACTGGTGTCAAAAAAGGTGCGTGATCGTCGGCACTCTCATATTTTGGAGGAACATGTTGTTTTCGAAATCGTTTGGCAGTGAAACCTTTTTTGGTGACTGGATGTTTTAAAGCCTGAACGTTTTGGCCAATTTTTGGAGGAATGGGTTGGTGTGAGCACACCTTTGCTTAGGGTAACTAGCAGCCACTAACACTGGAAATAAGTTTGCGGTCAACTTGTTGATAGCTCCTTATTTCCAGTGTTAGTGAGAGAACTTGTTCTCGTGCTGCTTGTTGCTCCTCCTTCTCGATGTTGCCCTCCTCTGTTGCTGAAGGATCACTCGAAGTAAATTGGATTTCAACAAACAACAGTTTGGAAAACAACAACTTGTTTCAATGATGTCAATTGGATTTGCAGATTTGCACTTTGATCGATGTCTCTCAACTTCATGTACAGTTTGTCACGGCAGTCAATTACAGACATGTCAATTCAGAACGGAGTTCAATTTGATGAAGGTCAACTTGATCAATGGATGTTGGTAGATGAGCAGCAGAACTGGTTGGAACGTTGATGGAATTTTTTATGGCGGCGATTTATCTGATTGCTGGAACTTGTGCTCCTTCTACCCAGCGATTTATGTGATTGCTGGAACTGGTGATAGCCTTATTGGAACGACGGATCGACGTTTCGAATTGCACAGCCCGCTGTCACTGGTGTCAAAAAAGGTGCGTGATCGTCGGCACTCTCATATTTTGGAGGAACATGTTGTTTTCGAAATCGTTTGGCAGTGAAACCTTTTTTGGTGACTGGATGTTTTAAAGCCTGAACGTTTTGGCCAATTTTTGGAGGAATGGGTTGGTGTGAGCACACCTTTGCTTAGGGTAACTAGCAGCCACTAACACTGGAAATAATCTGTAGGTTTCGGAGCCTTCCAGAAAATATGGGGTCCTTTTTATTGGAACTATGATTTTTGAAAATGCGCTTTTCCAGGTTTTGGTGTTTTCTAAGAAATATAGTTCCTTTTTCTTGGAACTACAATCTTTGGGCTGCGCTTTTGCATGTTTCGGAGCCTTCCTATTTTTTCCTTTGTTTTGGAACTATAATTTTTGAAACTGTTTTTTTGGCACGTTTGGGACGCTCCCAAAAATATAGTTCCTTTTTTTCCGGAACTATAATTTTGGAAGCTGTGTTTTTTTAGGTTTGGGTGCCCTCCCAAAAATATAGTTCCTTTTTTTCCGGAACTATAATTTTTGAATTTTTTTTTTTGCACTTTGGGGACGCTCCCAAAAATATAGTTCCTTTTTTTCCGGAACTATAATTTTTGAAGCTGTGTTTTTGCACGTTTGGGTGCCCTCCCAAAAAAATAGTTCCTTTTTTTCCGGAACTAAAATTTTTGCAGCTGTTTTTTCTCATGTTTGGGTGCCCTCCCAAAAATATAGTTCCTTTTTTTCCGGAACTATAATTTTTCAAGCTGTGTTTTCTCAGGTTTGGGTGCCCTCCCAAAAATATAGTTCCTTTTTTTCAGGAACTATAATTTTGGAAGCTGTGTTTTTTTAGGTTTGGGGACCTTCCCAAAAATATAGTTCCTTTTTTCCCGGAACTATAATTTTTGAAGTTGTGTTTTCTCAGGTTTGGGTGCCCTCCCAACAATATAGTTCCTTTTTTTCCGGAACTATAATTTTGGAAGCTGTGTTTTCTCAGGTTTCGGGGCCCGCCCAAATATAGTTCCTTTTTTTCCGGAACTATAATTTTTGAAGCTGTTTTTTTGCACGTTGGGGACGCTCCCAAAAATATAGTTCCTTTTTTTCCGGAACTATAATTTTTGAAGCTGTGTTTTTGCACGTTTGGGTGCCCTCCCAAAAATATAGTTCCTTTTTTTCCGGAACTATAATTTTTGAAGCTGTTTTTTTTTTCAGGTTTGGGTGCCCTCCCAAAAATATAGTTCCTTTTTTTCCCAGAACTATTATTTTTGGAGCTGTTTTTTTGCACGTTTGGGACACTCCCAAAAATATAGTTCCTTTTTTCCGGAACTATAATTTTGGAAGCTGTTTTTTTGCACGTTGGGCACGCTCCCAAAAATATAGTTCCTTTTTTCCATTTTTTCCGGAACTATAATTTTTGAAGCTGTTTTTTCTCATGTTTGGGTGCCCTCCCAAAAATATAGTTCCTTTTTTTCCGGAACTATAATTTTGGAAGCTGTGTTTTTGCAGGTTTGGGGACCTTCCCAAAAATATAGTTCCTTTTTTTCCGGAACTATAATTTTTGAAGCTGTTTTTTTGCACGTTGGGGACGCTCCCAAAAATATAGTTCCTTTTTTCCCGGAACTATAATTTTTGAAGCTGTGTTTTTTCAGGTTTGGGGACCTTCCCAAGAATATAGTTCCTTTTTTTCCGGAACTATAATTTTTGAAGTTGTGTTTTTTCAGGGTTGGGGGCCATCCCAAAAATATAGTTCCTTTTTTTCCGGAACTATAATTTTTGAAGCTGTGTTTTCTCAGGTTTGGGTGCCCTCCCAAAAATATAGTTCCTTTTTCCGGAACTATAATTTTGGAAGCTGTTGTTTTTTCAGGTTTGAGGTCCCTCCAAAAATATAGTTCCGTTTTTTCCGGAACTATAATTTTTGAAGCTGTGGTTTCTCAGGTTTGAGGGCCCTCAAAAATATAGTTCCTTTTGTTTGGAAACTATGTTTGTCGAAAGTTGTTGATGTTGCGCTGCTAGCTTTTGATTTTTCAAGTTGGGAAGTCAGTGCCCCGAAAAAAGTTGGTATATTCAAAAATTATTGGCTCCAAAGGATTCAAAGCGAGGAAAGAAAAAAAAGCACAAATCCAGGCACCAAAAAAATATAACCCCTGAAAAAAATATAATCCCTGAAAAAAAATAAAGTTCCAGAAAAAAATGAACTATAATTATAATGCCTTTTTCACAAAAAAATGTACATACTTTTTTTGTTTGTTTTTCCTTTTTTCCATTTAAAAAAACAAAAAAGTATATATACCGAGGGTGAAAACAAGGGTTGTATATATACTCTCTTGTTTTTTTAAATGGAAAAAAGGAAAAACAAACAAAAAATGTATGTACATTTTTTTGTGAAAAAGGCATTATAATTATAGTTCCTTTTTTTCTGGAACTTTATTTTTTTTCAGGGATTATAATTTTTTTCAGGGATTATATTTTTTTGGTGCCTGGATTTGTGCTTTTTTTTCTTTCCTCGCTTTGAATCCTTTGGAGCCAATAATTTTGAATATACCAACTTTTTTCGGAGCACTGACTTCCCAACTTGAAAAATCCAAAGCTAGCAGCGCAACATCAACAACTTTGGACAAACATAGTTTCCAAACAAAAGGAACTATATTTTTGGGAGGGCACCCAAACCTGAGAAAAAAACAGCTTCAAAAATTATAGTTCCGGAAAAAGGAACTATATTTTTGGGAGGGCACCCAAACCTGAGAAAACACAGTTTCAAAAATGCTTCAAAAATTATAGTTCCGGAAAAAAAGGAACTATATTTTGAGGAGGGTCCCCAAACCTGAAAAAACACAGCTTCAAAAATTATAGTTCAGGAAAAAAAGAAACTATATTTTTGGGAGGGCACTCAAACCTGAAAAAACGTAGCTTCCACAATTATAGTTCCGGAAAAAAAGGAACTATATTTTTGGGAGGGCACCCAAACGTGCAAAAACACAGCTTCAAAAATTATAGTTCCGGAAAAAAAGGAACTATATTTTTGGGAGCGTCCCCAACGTGCAAAAAAACAAATTCAAAAATTATAGTTCCGGAAAAAAAGGAACTATATTTTTGGGAGGGCACCCAAACCTGAGAAAAAAACAGCTTCAAAAATTATAGTTCCGGAAAAAAGGAACTATATTTTTGGGAGCCCAAACCTGAGAAAACACAGCTTCAAAAATTATAGTTCCGGAAAAAAAGGAACTATATTTTTGGGATGGCACCCAAACCTGAGAAAACACAGTTTCAAAAATGCTTCAAAAATTATAGTTCCGGAAAAAAAGGAACTATATTTTTGGGAGGGCACCCAAACCTGAGAAAACACAGCTTCAAGAATTATAGTTCCGGAAATAAAGGAACTATATTTTTGGGAGCGTCCCGAATGTGCAAAAAAAACAGCTTCCAAAATTATAGTTCCGGAAAAAAAACGAAACTATATTTTTGGGAAGGTACCCAAACCTGAAAAAACACAGCTTCAAAAATTATAGTTCAGGAAAAAAAGAAACTATATTTTTGGGAGCGCACCACCTGCCAAAAAAACAGCTTCAAAAATTATAGTTCCGGAAAACAAAGAACTATATTTTCGGGAGGGCACCCAAACCTGAGAAAACACAGCTTCAAGAATTATAGTTCCGGAAAAAAGGAACTATATTTTTGGGAGCGTCCCGAATGTGCAAAAGAACAGCTTCCAAAATTATAGTTCCGGAAAAAATGGAACTATATTTTTGGGAAGGTCCCCAAACCTGAAAAAACAGCTTCCAACATTATAGTTCAGGAAAAAAAGAAACTATATTTTTGGGAGCGCACCACCTGCCAAAAAAACAGCTTCACAAATTATAGTTCCGGAAAAAAAGGAATTATATTTTTGAGAGGGCACACAAACCTGGAAAAACACAGCTTCAAAAATTATAGAATCGGAAAAAAAGGAACTATATTTTGGGAGGGCCTTCAAACGTGAAAAAACACAGCTTCCAAAATTATAGTTCCGGAGAAATAGAAACTATATTTTTGGGAAGGCACTCAAACCTGAGAAAACACAGCTTCAAAAATTATAGTTCCGGAAAAAAAGGAACTATATTTTTGGGAGGGCCCTCAAACCTGAAAAAACGCAGCTTCCAGAATTATAGTTCCGGAAA